CCCCAAAACCCCAAAACCCCAAAACCCCTAGGGATTAATGTAAAGTTATTGATAGGATAATCAAAATTAATCAAATAAGTCGATTTAATCATTAATATCATTGTTAGGTTCATAAATCAAATTGACAATCATTCCTATGTTAGGCCTGATTCCTTCAAGTCGTTAAGAGATTCTCTTTCTTCCTCTTTTTATAGCTTTTCATTATCTTCTTTTTTTGCCTTAAATGGGAAAAATAGCATGATTGTCAGTGAGAAGTAGCAGAATATACCAATAGCAATAAAGTATATAAGAAAATCAATCTTTTCATTGAGGAATGATTCAATAACTAGGAAAATAAAGTTAGCCAGTGATTGTAGGAATTTCAAGATACTGAAAGGAATGATATTAGATTCGAATTCAAATCCTAAAACACAATTCAAAAGGTTGTTCAATCCACTATCTTGGATTCCCCATGCAAAAGTTACAAAGAATGTTAAAACTGAAAAAGACCATATACCTATATAAGCAAAACTAATGGCAAAAGAAACAGCTGTGATAGCCATTAGATACAGGACGCCTGCTCTCTACCCATATCTATCAGCAACGAATCCATGAGCAAATCCTCCCATAACTTCCCCCAATCCGAGTGGAACCATTGCAAATAGTGAATACTCTAACTTTTTACTATCAGACCACAAAGGGTAATCTTCTTTCATTGTAGTATTCATCATAACAACAAAACATCCACTCTGAGCAGCTAATGACATTGCGCTCCATACTATTAAGGGGATCACTAGAACCATTTTTCTTGAAAACATAAGCTTAACAGTTTGTCTAATGTCCTCTAAGAAGCTACTTTGAGGCTTCTCATTTGCAACTTAATCACTAGATAAAAGTTAAATGCTGTCTGAGTCTCTTTTTATTTCTTCTCCATTAGGGCCTTAGCTCAAATGTAAGTTTAGCTTCTTTGGTCTTCTTAATAGTAAAAAGATCATAGCCCCCAAGAAGGCAGCAACTGATACTATAATGTAGAAGGTACTTTGTTCAAAGTTACCTAAAATAAGAGCAGCTAATAGATTTCCAATAATCTGTGAGCTCATAAACCAAGCCCAGAAATAACTAAAGAAAAATCCTTTATTTTTGTCTGAGGCACAATCGGATACGTATTATCCTTGTGCAACCCAAAGGATTCCTGCCCCAAAACCGTTTATTGTAGCTGTAAAGAACAATAAGAAAGTTATGAATCCTCTGTTGAATATAAAACTATCAGAGTCAGGGAATTGGCTCTTAAAAGAGGGAGCTAGGAAGCAAAATACCCAGAAGAAGTAGCATACACCGCCTACTACCAATGATAGCTTTGTTCCCATCTTGTTGACGATTGCAGTAGAGAAAAAGCTGCAAAATGAGAATACCAAATATAGGCAAGCCAGAGTATAAAATCCTAGACTATCAAAATCGTCGTTCTTTAGAACTTGAGCCGAAAGATTCTAAGCAGAATTGAATGCAACAAAGAGTAAGAAAAACCCGACTGATATTATAGTAACTCGGTCTAAGTTCTAATATTGACTCATTTCAAACTTTAATATTATTATGAGTATTTATCCTTAATCTTACACTATACAGTTACTGTGGGGTTTTGGGGTTTTGGGGTTTTGGGGTTTGGGGA